GGGGGTGAGGCTCCCTGGCACAGGGCAGGGGAGGTTGGGGGCTCTCTGGTATTGACTGAGCGTGGTCCCAAGGGCCTGGATCATGGAGTATGGACTCTGTTATGGGGTCTGTCCTGGACGGGGGCACACGGGGGCTCTCTGGTCACAGGGAATGGGGGAGCTGTCCAGGATGTGTGACCAGGGTGCTCTCTGGTACTGAAGGGCAGGGGCAGGCATGGGCACCGGGTGCATTTCCCAATACCCAGGAATTAGGAGGGCTCCCTGGTATTGAGGATTCCTCACGTAGCTGGGACTCCAGGCACACCATGATCTTTCCAGAACTGCAGGAGCAGGGTGGCCAGGGGTTCCAGTAGGGATATGAACGACTACTCGACATGCTAGTCGATTAGTCACTTCCACCCTCCTTTGCTGCCTCTATCAGAATGGGGGGGTGGGGGGAGCTTCAAAGCAGCAGCACCTGGGCTCCACACAGGGCTGCTGCTTTGAAACACTGCATGCATCCTGGGGCCAGTGGGGGACTGGAGGGCCCTGGGCTGGCATTTCAAAACAGCAGCCCTGTGTGGAGCCCAGAGTCAGCTGGGAATTCTGAGTCCCCAGCTGACCCTAAGCTCCATGCCGGGCTGCCACTTTGAAATGCTACAGGGAGCACTGGGCCAGCAGGAGACTGCTTGAGTTCCCCGCTGACCCCATGCTCCCTGCAGTGCTTTTGTTTAATCTAATAGTCAGTGCGAATTGCATTTGATTAGCCAATTAATCTAAATTTAGCATCACTAGGCTCCAGTACTGGGGACCCTGGGATAGGAAGGAACTTGGGGAGTTTATGGGAACATCTGGTTGTTGCTTCTGCCCACAGCAGGGTGCTCTTGGGGGTGGGAGATCATGTCACTAACAGTCTGTGCTAAGGTAGCCTTGGTTGTGTGGGTGATGGTCAGGGTCCTTTGATATTTCTTTACTTGACCCTGTGCTGAGAAATCTGTTAGCCCAACTGTGCTGGGGACTTATATTGCATGCATCCTGCTGCCTGGCTGGGGACTGGAGTGGTGCAGCCACCAGCTGGCTGGGGATCAGGTGGATTCGGGAAGGTACCCAAACCTTTTGATGAGCTAGTAGCTCCCAGGGATCTGGAGTTTCCAATCTCATGTTTTGGGCTGGCTCCTCTGTTGTGGCTTATTTCATTCATTCTTTCCTGTGGAGTTTGACATTTACTTAGTTTACAGCAAATGAGGCTAAGTATATTCCAGGGCCACTTCCCTGCCTAATGGGGGTGCAGCTTCTAGTATTTTCCAGGCTGTTCCTGTCAGGAGGAGGATTATATGCTGGGATTTATGCTTCACCAAGTTTGCTGTAAATGTGGCTGTCCTTTTCTCCACTTCATGCAGCTCTCATATTGCCAGGAAGATACTAATGCTGCTCCTTTAGGGGAGATTGGGTCCCTGCAACAGTCAGAATAGCCCATTCTCATACTCGTGGGACTGGATTTATAGAAAGTTTTTTGTCTTTGCTCACTTACGTAATATAGTTGCAGCTGCTGCTCTCAAGAGTCTTAGGGTTTTATAATCACAAGGCATTTGTAGTAAGATGCTCATGTTATGGTGGGTGGGAGTGGCATCTTAAGTGTTGTGATTCTCATCTTGGGCTGAGAAATGAATGTGGGAAGGGAGGGAGGAATAAGTTTGGCCAGTGAGGGTAGAGCAAGGTAATGGAGAAGCTACATAATGGTTTCATTGTATAGGTCGGGGTGCTTTTTTGTATCGAGGGCTATTGGCCAACTGATAAAATCAAGCACAGACCACACATTCAACTCGTGTCAGGGTAGGGAGGTACAGAGGCTCAGGGGGCTTCCCCCTGCAGTGGGTCAAGCTGATGCTTTTGGCTCCAGCCCTGGAGGTGGGAAGCCGTAAGCTTCTGCACTGCCCTGTGTGGCTGGAGCATGCCAACGTGCCTCGCTGAGCCTCAGTGACCCCACCATCACCATGACAGGTAAGTTGAAAGTATGTGGCCTACTGGCTGTATGAAAATGAGCAAGGGAGCAGATTGGGCTCATGAGCTGTAGGTTCACCATCCATGGCATAGATTATCAGAACTTTCAAACTGGAGTTGTAGCAGATATATAGGGACTCCTTCCCTGAATATTTACATGTGGCCCTTCAAAACTTTATCTAGTAAGATTGTGAATTTTTTCTTTAATAGTGCCCCTTGGAATCAGGATTTTTATAGGACTGTACGTGAGCCTTATAACGCACTGTTAATGTCAGATCCAAGTTGAAATTTGCTGTTTAAAGTGGTAGTTTCTTGCCAAATGTGAAAAGTCAGTACATGAATAATATAAGTTAAAAAATAACTTAATTCTCCCCTTTTCCTGAACTTCACTTTTAACAGGTGCAGATTTTGCTCTTGTGTAATGTATTAGTCCCAAGAATGTTGTTTCAGCAGCTTCTAGCTATCTCCTGTTTTCGTAATGGTGGGCCAAAGGTGGATTACATATGTATGTCTTTATGGGTTTCATTGTAAATGAGGATTGGAGAAATTATTTTTACCACTCATAGATTCCAGACACAATATTTATGAACATAGTCTCAATTAGGTAACTGATTAAGCTAGCTCAAAATATGGTATTTGGGCAGGATGGTGGGGTGGGGTGGAAAGGGAGGATGTAGTAAAAGGCTGGGATTAAAAACCTTTTGTGGCTGCTGTAATAAACCCAATATTCTGACTAGTCCTGTTACTGAAAATATATTCTTAGTTCTAGGTTGTGTGTGAGGTCCTGGTGAGCCCAGAATGGCTGCTGTTTACCTGCACAATCACTATGTTTTATGAACAACTTAAATCTTAAGTTCTCATCTTGTAATGTTATCTGTCATGCTCACAAAATAAAAATAAATGTCATGTTTCAATTATTCAGCCTACAAAAATATTCTAACCTTACACATTTTCACATCTTAAAAACAGTGTCCAGAGCAGTGTGTTCAGATTATACTTCTGGAGGACGAGCTGTGTTCCACAAACTGTCCTGAGTGGAGAGCGATCTCTCTTGTTTATTGATTTGATAGTTATCAGCCTTCTGGGACTATAAAAACTTTCATTGTGGACCATGGATTACTGCCCTGAAAAGGAAGAACTGAAAGCATCCATGAGTTTATTTCTCCAAAATTTTGGACTGGCAACTCATGTTGTCAGCTGTCCAGTAGAATCTATCAGTTTTAATCACCACAGGAATGAAAAAGCTCACAGTTTCCTGGGACAACTTCAGTAACATCATCTGTTTTAAGAATTCCCATTGAGCAGTGTAATGCAGGATGTAGCAAATATGTAAGGGAGAGCATAATTTGAAGATAATGCAGTTCCACAGATGTCTTTACAGTTTGGAAATTTGACATACAAATTCAAAATGACGTGATTTTGAGTATTTCAGTCTTTGGAGTACTCTGCATGTAATACTGCAAAGAGATCTGATTTTTCAGCACCTGTCTTCTGAAAATCAAACCCCTTTGTCACTTGTTGTTATTGGCTGTAATTAATTATTCTTAAATTAATAATTTATACAGTTCTTGTCAGCTCTAGGAGTAAAAGTGATCAGAAACCACTTAATTTATTTAGCTGTACCAGGATATATACTCTTTATACACATTTATTTTTCAGAGTAGAATTGCATTTTTAAAGGTATATGGTCCTTCATCTATTCTTGTTGACCTCTGGAAAACCAACACTCCAGTGTGTTTCTGTTGCCCTGTCTTGTGCAGCAACAAGTCATGGACCAACTGTGATACAGCTGTTCCCCTCTGCCAGCAGTTAGTTCCTTCCCAACTGGCTTTCCCTCTGTGCCTTGCTCTCATACTGCACTCAGGGAGCTTTCATTCTTTGCTTGCTGGAGAATCAAGCACAGAGGTGTTCCCTACCTGCCCCATTCTCCGGTTCTATAGAGCAATTTAGCATCCAATAAATATAAAGGGTTAAAGAAAAGCGTATTTTTCTGCTGCCTGCATACAAAGTCTTCCCACTTAATGG